TGTGTGTGTGTGTGTGTGTGTGTGTGTATGAGAGAGAGAGAGAGAGTCTAGCGCCTCCACTCTTTCCTCAGCACCGCATATTACTGCTGCTGCTGCTGCTGCTTCTGTCCCCGACTGAGTAAAAGGGAAACACACAGTCCTCTAATGTTACTGCTGCATCTATTATTCACACACTCAGTAGCTGGGAAAATATGCTGACTGATTCAAAGGCTGTATTTTATACTAAAGTTCATCAAAATCAGTAAAACAAGTTGAAATAAAGTCATTGAAAGGATACAAAAATGAAGATTCACTCATTATCTACTCATCACTATGGGATGGAGGGGTGGGTGAAGTGTTTGAGTTTCCGGGGGCTAATGGACACTTGGATGACACCACAGGAGCAGTATGGAGACATTTTATTTATTTTTTCTGTTGTTTTACTACATTTGAAGATGTGGTCACCATTTACTTCAACTGTATTGGATGTGGCTGCAAAGCTGTTTACCCCTGAGACTCCAAAACTGTTTTGTGGATTCTTAAAGTTGACCAAAATATAGTAATGTATAATACTTAATGTAGGACAGATGGTGTCTGCAACATAAATGCACAGATGATAATGTGTGTTCAGAACTGCAAAACTCTCAGCACCATCAATTTTAAATAACAAGTCCCTCAGAGAAAAGTTCTTTTGCAGAGAATAATAAAAATAACTCTGCTGCACTCTGACCTGATCACTTTTATATAAATAAAGAGTCTATAGGCCTTTGATGGAGCAAATTTCTCATTTTGAGTCGTGCATTAAAAAGCCCTGGAGAAACTAACATAAATATTCCAAAACAACTGCACCATTAAATCTCACTCTGCATCCCTCTGAGCGTTATCACTCTCTACTATTGCAGCCTTGGATGTTCATCGCCTCTTTGTATTCATTCAAAATCGACAAACATTTTAAATTTCATCTCAATGTTTGTCGTTTGTAGCTTTTTGTGTTGTGACCCTTGGTCAGCGCAGGACAGAACCCACTGACCACTGATGGCATGGTTCCTTCCTTGGCCTTGTCCCCTGGCAACGGAAACCCTGAATGGTTCTGAAAAGAGGACATGAGCCTGGGAAACTCTTTTAGCAGAGCAGACGGGAGCTCGGAGCGCAGCGTGAACGGAATGTCCAGGAGGGAGGAAAGCGAGACCCGTCGTATCCGGACCAAACGTGCTGCCGCTCAATTGTTGCAGTGGAGCTTCCTGTCTTGTTCTTAACTGTGCTGAACAATATTTACCCTTTGATGCACTCATGAGTGTGGATGTGCAACTTGGGCTTAATAATCACTGCCACTACACGGCAAGAAGAAGGATCTGCACATGAAGCCAAACACATGGTCCTTGTATGTTATACACACACACACTGTATTACACTATAGGCAAAATGATTGACTGGTTAATTGATAAAATTATCATAATCAATTATCCACCAATAATGAAAGTAACTGTTAGGTGCAGTCCTTAAAGGAAATATTTGGAAAAAGGAGTTTTAACTTGAGATATATTGCATTTAAAGCAGACTGTTGCTCAAAAAATAGAGATGGAAAATAAAGAAAATGTGTTGGCACATGTCAAACTTCTGTCTCATTTAATAACATAACATTTATAATAGATCCTAGTTTTATTGATATGGGGCAACGATAGCATAAATATGGGCGAGTGATTCACAACAAACAGAAAATGCAAATTATAAAGCTGATGAGAACACTCGCCTTTGTGATCTGCACTGGTATCTGTGACACTGTAAGACAGGTTGTCTTTTCTTTTCTTGCTATTATGTGCAAAACAAAGACCTGTTCACAAGTGAGTGCCACATGCACACTGGATATTCGGATATTCGATATAGTGAGGGTTTGAATTTCCTTTAGTTATTTGCTTCCACTTTAAGAATCCATAAAAAAGCCTTTAAATGTTCTGCTCAGTGTCATTTATACTGTTTCACGAAACGTTGCTGAAACCGACCATGGCCTTGTATCTCATAAAGCCGTATCGCCACCATCACTGGTTTTTACCATCATCCTCAAGGATCGTGTTGGATTAATGATTATCCCTCATCCCCTATAAGAGTTAAAGCAGAATCCAGGAATCTGCTGTATCAGCTGCAGAGCGGTGGACTTGAATCTGTGGCTGAGACGTTTGATGCTGCAATCCGTGGATTCTTGTCCTGGGCAGTGAAAACAGAAACTTAACAGGACAACACCGGCATCCACGCTGACCTGGTTTGCCTGAAACTCAGCGCTTACCTGTGGCTTTTACTTAAAGATCTGGAAACTGGAGGATCACAGTTTTCATCTACACTCCTGAACAAGACAGATTCCTGTATTTACTCACTAGGCCCTTGCCCTTGGCCATAAAAGGCCTCTTAACCCCCGGTACACCTGCTGTTTTTTATTGCAACATAAACAGAATACCAGTTTTCTACAACTCGACAATCAATTAAATTATCTTATGCCTCCACTGAACGCTCATGGATGATCACACACTCCCTTGCTCTGCGGCCAAGTGTGACTCAGTGGCTGGTGATCAGAACATGAAACCACCACGAGCTGCGTTAATCCGCTCACGTGTCGTGCGTGACGACGGTGGTGACGTAACTGAGTGCTATTGGACAACGCAGGAGAGGAGCTGTCCTGTCAACCCACAGCCTTCCCTGGGGCGACGATGATGATGAAGATGGTGATTCTGATAACGCTGGTGATGAAGATGGAGGAAACCTGTCATTCAAACACACAGTGCTGACCGAGGCTCTGGCATTTATAAACCTCTGGCTTCTTGGATTTTGGCGCATAAACCTGATCTTCTGACAGGAGCGTGCCATGCGCCTTTAAAGGTGTCCTGAAATGCCGTCACCGACTTCATCAGCTGACAGAACGAAAAAAAAATCCCAGCAGAAATAACAGTGGCAACGTTCTCACTCTTTTATGTAATTTATCTTTGGGATGAAGGAACGTTTAAAATAATGCACGATGTAGAAATAACAGAATGCATCATTAATCGTGCGTAAAATAACTAAAAAAAACGACACCTCTGATAAAAATAACCCAAATGATGTCAGTCGCGATGCTCTTGTGCGCATCCAGTCAATACAGAGGCCCGGAGCACAGACACAAGTTTGATCATTTTATATTAATGTCTCTCATATGAGAAGTACGTTTTGGCACCGGTGCGTATTGATGATACACATCTCCACCGAGCAGAGATGCACTGTGAGGGGGGAAGTGGAGAGGATTTCCAGAGGTATAGCCTGACATTATGTAACATCCTCACACACATCACGATGCCTCTTCTCCTCCTTCTGCTTTTGCACACAAGCCTCACCTATAATAAACAACACGTCCTTTCTATCAAATGAGTCAAACACACACGATCTTACAGATGGTTTTACCTTGCTGCGCGCTTTCTACCATTCTCCCGTGTGCGCCGTCTTGTGCCGTTGTGAAGATGCGCTCTGGATCCCGGCTCCGCTCACAACACACCGACCTTTGGTTTGTCATTCGCTGCCGAGCAAAGGTCAAAGCTTCCAGCGTCCAGTGAGGCGAGACGCACGGTGCTGGAAGGATTCCCCCGGTAAAAACCCGTGCGTAAAAGTGCAGAGGCAGCGCGAGGCTACGGCACCATCATACAATCACATTTTGGCATTAGAGCTACACTGAACAAGGTACCGCGATGGCGTGTGGTAGATTTGTAGACGATGTGGATGAGCTTGAATGGGGCAGATGGATGGATGTGGATGTTCATGGATCTGCACAGTGGAAACTGCGCCACTCAGCGCTTCCTGGAGGAAAACCTGCAGTGGACCACAGGAACCTGGCTGCTTGCATTTACTATAGGCAGTGGTGGAGGAAGTATTCAGATTAATAGGTAAAAGTATTACCTCACTCTAAAAATATTCAGTCACAATAAAGCCCTGCATTCAAAACTTCCCTATGAGTACAAGTATTTTCATACTTTAAATATATTCAATTACAAAAAATGTCTGCGATCATAACCCCACTGAAGTAAAACTATTTAAGTACTTTAAGTAAAATAATTACTCATTGTCTCATCATCATCTGATGTGTTTGGATAAATATTAGTGCATGTTACATTTAACCCCACGGCAGAGCTCTTATTCCTACAGCAGAGGTCTCCATAACAAAGCAATGATCATAAAATACAACACCAGTCCTTCTGCATTTCAGGTTTTGGGCACGTGGTGATAACAATAATCTTCTTAATGCAGATGAGAATAATGATCATCAAGGTTCAGCACTCTACCCTGTGTGAGGTGTAAACACAGCTGATGAGGAGCAGGGAGGTGCCGGCTGATCTGAGAGGATTAGACCAGAAAGGGAGGAGACACACACACAGCATTCTTATGTCCTGTGTTTGTGTGTGTGTATCACCTTGTGAGTCAGCGCAGGTTTTTATGTGTCCGGCTGATTCCTGTTTTTCCTGATATGAAAGACTAAGGAGCAAAGGAGGGAAGGGCAAAGTTATTTTTTCATTTGTTTCCATAAGTGCTGGAAAGAAAGAAAGAAAGAAAGAGAGTTTAGTCATATTACAAAGATTTACAGCGGTTTTCTTTCTTTCTTAAAAACAATGGATTGATAGCAATCATACATGCACACATAAATAAAACAGAAAATAGCTTTGCCAAATAGAAAGATGGATGGATAGACAGAATTTAATTGTAGTAACAGTATATTGTTTGCTGCACTAACACTTATTTCTTTCTTTTACAGTTGAACTGAGAAATAAAATGTCAGTGTGTGCACCCATTATAATTAAATTAGACAATACAGGTGTTTGTACTGTGTGAACAACAGGTTCCACTATTTTACATCACAACAACAGGAAGACAGTGAAAAGCAGCCATGAGAAAATACTTTAATTGTTCTTGGACTGTGACATGTTGGGACAGCAGGATTGAAAAAGTGAAGGGAAAAATCAACTGTGGAGTTACACAACAGCTGTGGGGTGTGGTCACGCGCTCGACACCCTCTTCACACACACTCATCGAATGATTATCTACAGACACTTGCTGCTGAAGACACCACGGTGATATGCACAGGCATAATTTAAGTTTGGTCATCTTCAGTCAGGTCAACACAAAACTTGTCTCGAATGCCTTTACAATCTGTAAAACATACAACACCCACAATCCTCAGACCACACGTACGGAAAATAATATCAAACAAACATAAAAATCATCATCAGAAAAACTTGATAACACAAATATCAAGTGAAATATGAATGAAGCTAGACATATTTCTACTTTTTAAACTTTTTTTGAAAGGCATTATTTTTGCATGTCATTGTTTGTTGACGCCCTGGATTAGTGTGTGTTGTTGTTTTTTAAATTCAAAATTAATTTAAGTGATTCAATTTACAAAAAACCTTTGAAACTGCAGGATGAACATTGATAGAATTGGTTTTAATTGTGCGTTTTTGTGACTAGTGCATTTTGTGCTTTATTAGTGCATTTTGTCTAATATGAGGATTTTTTACTTTGAATGAATGGATCAGGAGCTTGGTGAAGGGAGGATGGTGAAATAAAAAGCTGGAAAAGCTGGTCATTTTACAAATCTGAAAAGCAAGATCTTTACATATATAACCTTCTCTTTATCATAAAAATGACTTATTTCTTACTAATCCAGCAGTTTAAAGGAATGTAACAACAATGAAGGCACTCTGTATTGTATGCATTTGTCTTCATCTCAGCCGCACCAGCCCGAGCATGACTGCATCCGACTCTGCAGCGTTCCAGCACAAAAAGCAAAGAATAGCGGTTTACACAGTGCATTGTTTACATAAATGATGGGCTCATCTAGAAACCCTGAACTCACAAAGCCAAGGAATGAGAAATTGCTTCTGTTGGATAGATTTGCATATGTAACAGCTGACGTGGAGGCCTCATATACAGCTCACAGACTCAAAGTGTCAGTCTTCTGAGGATAAAATATTGATTTTGTTTATATATATATATATATATATAAAACAAAACTCTCTTAGTATTGCTCTCAATGAACCTGCAACTTAAAGCTATGCATAGAATGAACTTTATAAGAATAATTTTGTTAGGTATGTTAAGTAAAAAATAAAAAAAAACTCATCAGTTTCAGAAAGTAATTTAAGGGTTTCACTGCAAAATGATATTTTTGTCTGTATTCAGCCTGATCTCACGATCGGCTTTCTGTGGTTGAGATTTATATTCAGCGTTTCACAATAAAAAATAAAGGTGTGAAGATTTGCTGCTTGATTGGTGTTTGTGTCAAATCAATTTAAAGAAGTGATTAGTTTATATATCGTATAAAAGAATTCTGACGTTTCACTACAATAATGTTGAACCATTATTCAAACACTTGTGATTGAATCTCAGACATGTCGGCTGGCTACAGTTTTGATCAGCGTCCCGGTCCATTTATTTCTCTAAACCCCAACATTAATGTTGTAATGGGTTGAAACCTGACACCGAGGCCAGCACGTACAAACATCCGCTCACTTCCTGTAATGGCCTCCTGATGTTTCCCTGTGGTCTTTTGTTCCAGAGCGCTGTCAGGGCGTCTGGGGTTGGCAGGTGTCCGGCGGCTGTGTGTGCATCTTGGTGCTGAGGAGAGAGTTGATGTAAGGCCAAATCCGGTCCGTCTCTGTGCCGGAAAACGAGTGCAGGATTCCCTGTGACCTGAGGGAAGAAAAAGAAGAAGAAAACTGTTGTGGCCACATTGATAATAGATTATATGATAAAAGAGTATTTGCCCCAATGTAGCAATAAACTAACCCTACTCATTAAAACTCATTAAAACTATATGATGTAAACTATAGTAAACATGTATATCGTTTATACATGGAGCAATAAAATAAAACACTAATAACGCTCTAAGAAGTTTAAGACTTGAGAACTCACTGCTGAGCAAAAGCTTTTCAAATGGGAGAAACTGAGAGTCATATGATCCCATTCATGACATTGCTTGATTTTCAGCTTTGATTCACCGTGTGAAATGTTGGATGTATAATGACACACACACACTCGAAACAACTTACTGTTCGCTAAGTGGATTATATCCACCTAAGATAAAACTGACTGCAGGGTTGGACTCGATTGACATTGTGTTTTAAAGGTTCATATTCCTGAATAAATGTGATGTGCAATAAATTAATAATTAAAAATCAACCATCATATGATGGTTAAAATCAATATTCAAACGAGAGCTCCATCTTGCAGCACTTCCAACCAATTATCTAAACTGTGGCAGGCCGACATATTTGTCCTGCCGCATTTTCATATTTAACCAAACTTTTTTACACTCGATCTATAACTTGGTCTTTTGCTCTGTATGTGTGCTTGTGCTATCACCCATAAAGTTGTTACTGTCCATGCAGACTGACAGACCTCATAGTGTCAGCTGCAGTCGTGCACATAACTACAGGTGGCATGCAATGCAGTTCTCACAGGAGAACTAGTCTGTGGTAGTTTACACGCGCCACCGCTAACACTATACACGTTTTGTGGTTATCTGTCCAATCGTTTTTGCGTAATTCTGCTAAATAACAGATAAACAAGACAAAAATGTCTTGGCAGATTTCTTGAGGACTGTTCCAGGGAGCATTCACTCACTTGTATAAGTCTATGACAGGCTTGGCTACATCTTTGTAGTGTCTCAGTCTGGCCATCAGGGCTTCTGGTTTGTCATCGTCGTGTTGAATCAGTGGCTCCCCAGTGATGTCGTCCTTACCCTGAGGAGAGCAACACAAGGTCCCACATGCAACAGAGTCAAGACACTTCCCGAACTTGTTTTTGAAAAGCAGCTTATAAATAAAATAGAAGTAGAAGTAATTATTACACATTTTAGTTATGAAAGATAACTTTATGTTACTTTAGATAATACTTTATACTTGTACTTGTACGTATTAGAGTGTAAATATATAGGCTGTGCAGGAGTAGGGGGAGTTAGTAGTGAGTAATGGTGTTGCTACTCATCTGGGTCAAGTTTCCTGATTTTGAAACCTTCATCCTGCTGAGGCAAGAATTAAAACCCCAATTTCTAAAAACAGAAATCGCGAGGCGAAGAAACTGAAAGAACAAATAGATGAACTAAAATAGAGGACTATTGTTAATTCTATTGTAACATCTATCTCTACTTCTGAGACCTGCACTCGTGGCGGGTTGAAGCCCATGTTGTAGACTCTACCGCTGCCCAGGTGGATCCAGCGGTCACTCAGTCTCTCTCTCAGCGTCTCGTAGGGTATGTTGAGGCTGATGACCAAGTCCAACTGGCACAAGTTATTCAACTCCCGTGCCTGCGCCAGCGTCCGAGGGAAACCTGGACAGACGAGACGTAGAGTTTATGTAGGCGATGGTTTGACTTCTATGTTTCTGTCAACATTCAGTGTGGTGTCTATTCCTTATTCTTTAATCCATAACATAAGGAAGATGTACCAACTGTATTTCAGTAAAGTATTTCCTGTTTAGATTTGTATTAATATCAAGAGCCGAGGGCAAGTTCAGATTGGTTCCAGATGTTCTGTATTGTGACACAATAAAAACAGATCATGTGGAGGAGCTTACTGAAAAACACTCAAAGAAACAGGACCTGGATGAACCAGCTTTAGTTCTGTCTGATATGCGCCGATATAAAAACTTGTATTTTACAGATTAAACATGTTAAATTATTTTAGTAATTCAAGTTCTACTTCATTTAGTTGTTTTTATTTGCGTTTTCTGTTTATCTATGGTTATTTAATTAAAATTGATTGTTAAACTGTAGAATGTGGAGCATCAATCATATTTCTGTGTCATAAGAAGCCCCCTTGCCCACTTTCATAATCTGGGCTCAAGGTGACCTCAAGGACAATGCCTCGGTAAAAGTCACTTTGGTCAGGCGGGTGTTTGCTCACATGCTGGTCGTCCCATTTTTACGCCTTTTTGACTTCATGGTTAAATATGCTTGCATTTGGGTTCGTTGGGTTTATTGCTTCCCTATGTGTTTGAGTGGAAGCTGACAGTTATTCTGTATGTTCCTTTGTCTGAACAATAAACCACCAGAGCATCATGTTACAAAAACGAGGGATAGGAAGGCACTAATTGTAGGTTATGAGAGGGAGACAAAAAGCAATTATGTCTATGTGGTGCAGTATATTTGTGTGTGTGTGTGTGTGTGTGTAGCCTTTCCGTTCCCTCTCCTCTTGCTAAATTGTTTTGTTTGCCGGTCATGTCATGTTTCAAGGTTTAAACCAGTCTATCCCTAACCAGTTTGTTTAACCAGTGTTTGCCATCTCTCCAGAAGATGTGGGTAATGTTTAACTGCTAAGAAGACGCAATGATCTCCACTAATTCTGGAGCCATTTTCCAACCAGCACGTTGTACTGTACATTTATATATATATAATTATTTATCGCATCAACATAAAAATGGACGATTATTTACATTTTATATGTAAGTAAATGTAGAAGGGGGAACACATTAAACACTCAAGGGGAAAGAGGGGATACAGTCAGGGCCCTGAAGCTCTGGAATGTCCTGGACAGTAAGCTAGCAGAGTCAGTGACATATTTTAAGTCCCTTCTGAAAAAGCAATTAAGTCTTAACTGATTTTATCTGAGGTATTTGTTTGTTTTAATTATTAAATACTTCTAATTACTTGACAGAATGTCCGTCTACTAGAAAATCCTTCTTGATTTCCTTACTTTTGATATTTTCAGTTGTATGACTTTATTTACGTGGGTAGAAGTACCTCAGAACTTACTTCTACTACACGACCCTTCTTGATTTGATCTAAGTTGTTTGTCTTGATAGAAGTAGCTCTAATAAATAATACTAAACTTTATTTATATAGCACTTTTTAAAAACATAGTTTACAAATTGCTCCTTTGAAAACCTACTCCAAAAAAAGCCTTATTTTATTTCTGTCCTTATCTTTGATTTGTTGTCATGTGAAGCAAGTTGTAACGGTTTTAAAAAGTGATTTTATTAGGAAGTTTATTATTGTGACTTCCTTCTTTTTTTTCGTGGACTTACTAATGTTGAGAAAAGGTCACTGGGTGACAACTTGCCACATGTGAATAAAGAAACTTGAAGGACCCTGCTGACATGAATTTTCTCTCCTCTCCTCTTTGACCTGACCTCCGTGTCTACAGTAAGAGTCCAGAGCAGGATGCTGGGACGGCACTCAGAGAACTAATCACTCACAGACTTACAGCATATTTTCCCACATAGTTATTCCTCAGACTCCAGTAAAGCACTGTGGAGGCCATGTTTCATAGAATGCAAACACTTTAATGAAGGCCCTGCCTCTAACATTAGTCATTTTTTGGGGGGTGGCACCAGCACTGGCCAATCAGAATATAGGGCAGTTCCCACCACAGGCCATGACACTGCACAACAAAGAAAACATTTCCTCTCTACAGAACAACTGCTATATGTAAAGCTGGTTCATCACAGTGCAGCGGGGGAATAAAGCACAGACCATGTGCTGTGATTGTGGTAAAAACAAAAAAAACACAGTTCTTCTTACCGTCCAGCAGCCAGCTGTGGCCACTCAGCTCCTCCAGTCTGGGCAGCATCAGTCTGGTCATCACATGGTCAGGCACCAGCATGCTTCTTTCCACAAAGGACTTCACCAGCACACCTGCGTCTGACACACAACAGACATATAGACAATCTTATATAGTTGTTCTGCTTCGTGCTTCAAGAACCACAAGTCTTGATGGAAATAAAGACATGAAACTCTCGCTTGTGACCTCTGTAATCTAGTTTATTTAAAGTCACACTGGAAACCCTGTGGTGGATAATTAAATCAATATTCATGCCAAGTCACCAACTCCCTTAACTCACACACATAGATTCACTCATTTATAAACCTTTAAGCTATAATATGAAAAGAGAAATGGGGTTTGTTTGCATTATCCAGCAACACACAACTTTGCCAGGCACATATGTTTATACTTAAGCCCTCTGCTCTGAGCTCAGGTTTATTATCACGGTACGTGAGCTTGGCACAACCTGGGAATCAAATGAATTCCAGTTGGTGAGTTTAACTCTCCACCAGATTGAAATCAGATAAAGACATGTCTCGTGTTCTGGGGGCTTGGACTGAAGAATGAAGTTTTAGATATATCATGTGCTTCATTCTGCGAATGCTCCATCTTATAGGGCTGATCAAAGTACATTTGTGATAATTACAGTCATACTAAAGAATAGAGAACATTAGAATGGTGCCAAATTCTCTCATACAGGATGCAACAAAAAATGTTTGTTGCTTCAAGCTTTGCTCTTCCTGGTGCCACCGCAGTGTTGGCGGTACAGCATAAGTGTGCACGGGACGATGTTTCCTTACCTGTTTTTGCCGTTATACTCTCTCGCAAATAGTGGCCACTAGAAAGATAGAGTAGGCCGAAGCTTTGCGCAATCCTCTTGGATATCGTTCCTTTCCCCGATCCCGGCGGACCCATGATAGCAGCTCGGAATAATTTGGCCATGTCTTCCTCAAAAGCAACCAAGAAGCCCAAATGCTCACTTTTGCTTTTCGTGATCAGCAGCTCGACGTAGATCACCTCCTAATGAAACTACAGGTTTGAGCGGTCTAGCAGGTCCAGACACGTAAATGGCTCATAAACTTGCCGTGCCAAAGTAATATTTCCAGTTTATTTTCTGCGTCTGCGGGTCTTTACGCACGCAGCGCCTGCTCTCTGCACGCATTGGGGGCTTCAGTGCTCCAGACACGGATCAAGTCAAAACGCCCTTCTCCTTTTTTCCTTCTCCTCTCGGCTCTCTTGTAGATACATTACGCACGCCCACGTATTTAGACTTTTTTTTCTCTGCAAATGAATGAGGGAGTCTCCACAACGCCCTATTTTTCTGCGCACATCATCCAGAAAAAATGCGGATGCTGATTTGCACGAACTTCGCTGGGTGAACTGGTTACTGTAGTTTTTATATACGCAACTGGAGTTTACGTTAATGTACATGTAAGTCAATGTAGTTTTGATTCACAGACTGGAAACTGTCAAACAAGCACACGGACATCTATCTGTCTGTCTATCTATCTGTCTGTGTGTCTGTCTATGTATCATAAAAAGGTTAATAATAATTATGATCATTGTTATTGTTATTATTGTTTCTGTTGTCACTATTATTATTGTTAATATTATTATGATATGTGTCATTATTATCTGTGTTATTGGTATTAGCATTATCAATATCACTATTGTTATAATTTATATTATTATCATTCTTATTATTATCCATATTATTATCATTATTATTGTGAGTGGAGAAAGAGGCGGGTCGGTCAGTGACTGTGTCAGCTGATGTCTGTGGTGAAGTTTCTCACTGATCGCACCAGTCACTGTTACATTTTACGTTCATTTAGCAACGTTCCCGTTTGGAGAATCACACGCGTCACGTCACCAACTGTGAGCGTGGACTATACTGTTGGATTCCACCACTTGTTGACAGCAGGATCATCTGAGCTGCACATGGCTCGTGTAACTATTCCTCCTGCTGTTTTGTTTTCCTCCCTCTTCTCCTTCTTCTTCTTCTGTTTTTTTTCCCTCCTGGCAGCAGGCGCAGATAGTCGCTGTCATTCCGCGCAACATTTGCGCACGGGAGAGGAATCCAGTGAGTCGACTTGTTGCAGAGCCACACGGCGGCGGCTGCGTCCCGGAGCTGTCAAACACTGCGCACAGCCTCCAGACTGTGGAGCCTCCAGACTAATCCACCAGACCAACAACTGGGGACATGAACCTTTTTCTTCTCTCGATCTCCAGAAACTATCTGAATATTTTTTTTTATGGTTTTAAACTCCAGCCTGTTATTGAAATCTTATTTTTTTTGTTCCTGTCACATGGCTTTTGGGAGAATTCAATAACAACAAAAAATGGCGACAATCACGTTGCTCTGTGTGGTCTTGCTGCGTCATTAAAAATATTCACGTAAACACGGGGCGCTGACCGGGGGAGACTGTGGGTAAGTGAGCTCCGTGGATGTTGTACATTTCACGCAAACTGGCTGTAATGGAGAATACGTGATTTTCTATGATTTGGCTCCTGCACGACACGCTGTTTGTTTTTGCCCAGGAAAAAGGGGTGTGTGCGCAATGCTGGGCGTCAACGTTTGGCTGCACAACGCGAACAATGCACTTGTGTTTTTAAAGCCTTTAGTCGATTTTATTTTATTTTTTAAAAGTGCGTACATGCATATTGTTGTGACGTGACGTAAATGACGTGGTTGTTGACACTCGGGCAACTTTTGTTTATTTGCAGGGGGGGATGGCAACAAGCGCGAGCACGGCGCGTGTGTGGCGTTTGATGGCACCAGTTTAAATCATTGCTGCGTGTTCATGTTTTCCTTCGTCCAGTTGTTTACATTCGAGGTTTATGTAACAGACTCCTGCTTCTTCTTTTTTTGTGTTTTTTATACAACGCAGCACGCATGCAGCCCCACCCCCTGACAGTGTGTTCGTGCACGTCGCTGTTTAGTTGTTGCACATGTCGCACATGTTTGTTTGTTTGTTTCCGTGCACGTCTGACATTTCTCTGGACACAGCCTCTGTGCAGCTAATGGAGTTGTTTACAAGAAGTGCGGAGGGGCGGGGCGAGGAGGAGGAGCCGTGACGTCAGCAGCGACGCGACCTGACTGCTCGAGAGGGTGCACGCGCCCAAGAGGAGGGAGGGTGGGGGGAGCCAGCGAGCAGGATCATAACAAGTCTGACGTCACTCGGCCTGTGGTTGGTATGATTAATTTACAGCAAGTAAAATAAATTTTAAAAAAACAGTAGTTTTCCTCCATTAGGAAAAGTGAAAATATGCTCGTTTTATTTTGTGTTTCAATATTTTACCAATGAGAGATTTGCAGTTTTCATCTGCAGTGTGGTACATACATAATAACTTTATTTAACTTTATTTATAGAGCAAAATAATACAAACGGGTCATAAAATCATGAGCATAATATGCCCTATCACTGCAGGTTTCGGAGGTAGGTCATGACCTATATGCAACATGTGAGTATTGCGTGTACGCTAAAGCAGTCACAGACAGGGAAATGTACTTGTTACAGCAGCAAATTAAATAAAAATTCAGAGAATAAGTACATACACTTTGTTTGTAGAGTAATGTACTTGAGTTAAGGGAAGTGGCAATTGCAGTAAGCTGTATTTGTGCATTAGTATAAGGACCTATCCATATATAGACTGTTATAAACACCAAAATACTAATAAAGGGTGACAATTAAGAATAGTAGCCTAGTACATATAAATTACTATAAACAGACAAACAGAAAAAAAAGATATATCAATCAGTATATACAAAAAGGTTGCTCACATCCAGGCTAACATGCTGAATTACTGCAGGTGTCGGAGGTACGTCTGAGGACTAACGACCTTTATGCAACACCATGCATGTGCAGTTTAAGGGATCCAATGTGGGGGCTGGCGTGTTGCGTATAGGCAGCGAGTCAAAATGTAGCAAATCTTTTATGAGATGAATCATTGACGAGCCGTCTGTGCACCAGCAGACTGGAAATAAAGAAATTATGAAACAAAACAGTATAAACAAGTAAAACTCTCTATTCTGATGGTTAAATATGAACATGGACATCATGAGCAGACATCTTGCTGCATCCTCCCGTCTCCCTGCAGGCTTTAAACTCGAGGATTCACAATAGGTCACTTAGTTCAAGTGCAGAGTTGTACATTATTAACCGTCTCCTGTTCCAACGCAGGCATGAAGTTGCAGGATTTACAACTGCAATGGTTAGCCTGGTCCAATGATTGATGAGTCGACAAACAGAAGATTCATTATGAGTTTGGATAAACTGGTTTTTAGCCAAAATGTTAAATATTTTCATATTCCAGCTTCTTAGATATCAAGGTTTGCTGCTTTTGATTTATTTATAATACAATTAATGAAACATCTTTGTTGTTTGGTTGATCAAAAGCAAACCAACGTTGATGTGAACTTTTTACTATATTTCAACATTTTACAAAGTTAAAGGCTAATTTTTTATTCCAAACAAATTACTGGCATATTAATCAGGTGCACAAATAATCATTAGTTGTAGCCCTTACACAGATATAATTCTGTATTATACAATCATTGTCAAAGTTTATTCAACATTAATGTTCTATGTCAAATTAATTTCAGAGCATTAGACGCGTACTCACTGTTTTTTTTGCAACATCCATGTACATCTACTCATAGTTGTACAATATTATGCCTTTTAAAATTAACATTCATTAACATATTATCACCATATATGGGCAAATGGAATAAATAAATAAAAGTAAATAAGTGTCTAAGATGCATGTAGGAGCTTATTCTATATTCCAATATTTACTGCTGAGCCACCTTAGACTAAGAGTAGGATATATTATCAAGGAAACATTGTATATTGTGAGATTCCACCAAACAACCTGCATATTTGCAGAAGGAAAACCTTTTTGTATCTTTGCACTTGTCGACCTAGAGCTGGGATATTATGGGCTGGATGACAGAGTGAAGCCGTGCGCTGCTAGACTTGTCAGGCTGCCCTGGTTCAGTTATCACAGTGCTGATGCTGTCTCCATCGAAGGTACAGTACTGTGATAACTGAAGGATGGCTGCCAACTTGACACCGGTGCCGTGGACAGAGGCACATTGGGCTAACGATGCAGAGGACCAGAGAGGAGCTCCACAAGTGTGAGTATGTGATTCAAACAGAAAATTGTTTTGCGACAGATCTTGTTATTGTGTGTTTAAGTGAAAGAAATATCTAAACCTGTATGTTGCACTAGTACTACCTTCTTGAATATGAGAAATAAAGTGAACTGTCAATTATTGAAACGTGTACATTGTTTGATTTATCCCTGTTTTTGAAAACTAAATATATATTTGTACCTGTAAAACTATATTAAGCTGCAGTTAGTATCTAAAAAGAAGTACCTCACACTATTAAACCTTAAAACTCTCCACAGTCATTCCCTGTGTGTCTTTATCAGAGTCAAACATGATGAGCTTTGCATTACAAGATCATTTCCAGTTCACTACAAATAACAATTGAAGAAGAGCGTGCGTTTTTTAATTGAGTTATTTATTTAGGATTTGGTCCAAAATATGTCCCTGACTGCCCTGAATGCTTTTCCATATTATCAACAGGGGGCGCTAAAGCTCTATGATCGATGTGTTCTGTCCTCTGTAGAGCAATGATCTGTTTTATGTTGTAATGTTTTTCAGAAAGGAGCAATGAAGGTCTTTCGTTAAAATGATCAAAACAAGAGAAGTGATTTGTAATCATTCTTGACAAATTTTTCCTGTTTCTACCTGAATCCAGTTTTGCCAACGCGACATGAATTTGGATTTTTTTCAATACAATGAACCTAATCGTACTTTCCATACATGTACAGTCTGACTCACTAGCACAGGTCATCTGCAGCTGTCATTGGCATACTATAGTGTTATCGCATACTATAGTGACTATGGAAATCCCCAAAGTGTAATCATACATATTTTGTTTTTCTCACTCTCACCTCAATCGCTCGACTCCCCTTGAATTTCATGTTTTTCATACTCACCACGTCATGTCTAGGTATTTTGTGGTTAAGGCAAATTTTATAATAACATGAAAAGCCAAGTGGGGTTTTACACAATTTGAAAGAGCCATTTTGTAAATGAAAACACACTTTCAGACACATTCATTTTTCACATATTACACTTCATATCAACATATTACACTTGATTTCATTTTCTGATGCACTCCTCATAAAATGTTTTTGCGTAATCCAAAACTCTCTGAACCATCAAGGGACAGGGTACTGGGGAGTTTCTGTTGTATTCAATTCAAGGCTATGACTGGGAAGTGACATAGGAAGTCCCTCCCTTAAAATCAACCACCCCCTTTTTTTATGTACAGAAACTGTCACATCCCCGTTTTTCGTTGCAGGAAGTTATTTCTTTTTTTTTCCAACACCAAACATCGTTGTGTGACATTCCCTAATCTGCAGGAGCAATAGACCAGTAGTGATAGACACCCAACCTGGCAACTCTTAACTGAAGCATGTATGTGTTTACTGAACACACTATAATGAAGTAGTACACAGATTACACTCAGTGTGAGTGAGTCCCTCTGTGAACACTGTAAATAGAGGATTAGGAATAGACAAAATAATAAAACTCTGGAGTTATATATCGTGTTTTAAATTTTTCATTAAAATAGGCTATATATGCTGCTCAATGTTAAACAGAGAAAACTTAAAGTTAAGTTTTACTTTAAACTTGTTTTATAGAATTGCGAGAACAATGATTGTGTCAACAGTGCCAATCCACACTTGAAACAAATGATATAGAATATGTCCGATCGCCTTCTGTCTTTGGTGCCTCTGTTGTCTGCAGTCACCAGGGAAACTCCACAAGTTGTCTTGTGATGACATCAAAGGTTGACTCACTGATTCCAGATAAAAACCAATGACTGCATTTTCTGAGTGATTAAGCTGGTAGACATAATTTCTTACTACAGTTAGTAGTATTGACCTCTACAGCCACAAACATTTGTCTCTCACTAGCTGGACCATCAATACAATTAAAGCAGCATTATCTATCTATCACATCACTTTACATCGGGAGGTTGAGACCATTCAAAATCATAGAGAAACTCAGCAGTTCCTGCAATGAGCCCACACATTGAGCGGTAATTATTATTATTACTATTTTTTAGTTGTATTAGTATTAGTAGTAGTAGTAGTGGTAGTAGTAGTAGTAGTAGTAGTTTGATCATTTAAAGGTACAGTGTGTAGAATTTTGTGATATCTAGTGTTGAAGTTGCATGTTGCAGCTGAACACCCCTCACCTCACCCTCTCCTTCCAAACATGGAAAAGAACCTGTGCTAGACTTCAGTTGTCATAAAAACTCAAAAGGTGTTTAGTTTGTTCAGTCTGGACTAATGTAAAGATCATGGCGGCCTCGGTAAGGGTCCCCTCAATGTAAATATATAGTATTTAAATATAAAGGTAAAGGGCCTACAAAACTACAATTCATACAATTTAGATGAAATGAACTAGTGAAAACATCATGAGGATTATTCTAAATTAAATTTCTACCAATAGTTCCCGTTCACCTAAATCTTACACACTGGACCTTTATTGGAGGTGTATTAATGGGTCCTCATTGGCTCATCACTCTAACAATACATGGAACATTACAAATAATGCCAGTGGACCATGACAGATTAATAAATGAGATTTTTGGTTTTGGGATTTCAGTATTGAATTGATATATTGTTTAACTTAATTTACAAACATTGGATGGTTTATAATTTGAAAATTTATATTTGTGGATATGTGATTTTGCAAGTAGTAGGATCAATTTTATAATGTTTGTGGGTTAAGCCAAACAATACATTTTTACATAGGAGAGGGAGATTTCAGAGTCACTATATTTATTTATACGTTTATTTGATTCATTGACCAAACAAAACAATTTAAATGCAAACAAAAAGTCTCAAATCCTGAATGAAAAGGAGCCGAATGAAGAATTATGTACCTCTTTCACAAGACATTAATTAACAAACGAAATAATTCAGTCAAATTAAGAATTTAAATGGCTGCAAGCCAACAAGCCCATAAAAATGAGTTTACCTGTAAAAACAGAGCAAAACTTAACAAACACATTTTATTGTATTTCCTCAACATACTGGCTTTAATTGTTTTTTTTGTTGTTGTTTCAGATTCTTTGGTTTCTTAGCTGAGTGAGTTTATATTTTGCAAGTACTTCCCCAAGCCTCAACACACTTTTTATTTATCATTGAGTTGTATAAAATGTACAATGCTTTATTATCTAATTAATCATTTAATATATTGGCAAATAAATGTGGAGACATATTGTTTAAAAACTGAAAAGTGGGGACAAAACCAAAACAAGTGATGGATATTTGCTCCTATATCCTTCATTCCCACTGCTGTCAATAAGATTAAACACTGCACTGGTCATGTCTCTCTACTTAAACTATTTGCAATATTTCTAACAGAAAATAACTTTGTGCACATTACAGTTTTTCTACTTGCTCGTACAATCATCCTTTGCCACTGCACTTTACTTTATAACATTTCTATACAAACCACTACAGTTAAACGTGTATATAAAGTACATACTCAGCATTTTATATTTATTTATTTTATATATATTCTATTGTCTTATTTTTATTTTTTGTATTCTCTTGTCTACCTCATTGACTCTGACCTGCCTGCTGCTGTAACAACTGAATTCCCCTGGATCAATAAAGTTTTATCTTATCTTATTTTATACATTCCTGGATTCAGTGAAAGGTTAAAAGGGATAGTTCAAAAATGACAATTCACTCACCACTATGTTGATGGAGGGTTGGGTGAAGTGTTTGAGTTCACAAAACACTTTTGGAGTTTCAGGGGTGAACAGTGTTGCAGCCAAATCCAATACAATTGAAGTAAACAGTGACCACTCATACTGCTCCTGTGCTGTCACCCAAGTATCCAGAAGCCCGATTTTCAAATTCAACTAAAGACAGAATCATTTCCACCATGTTTTCAGTTTAAATGTTTGCTGTTATCCCCCCACGATACTCTGTTATCCTCAACATATCAGAGGATCAAAAGGAACATCTGAATCAAATCAAATATACTTTATTGTCCCCATGGGAAAATTATTCTTTAGCCAAAGTGCTACAGCAGTTACAGAACAGTACATCGTACAACAAACAACAAGGGAAGAAAAACAGTACACAAGGACATATCCGAAAGAATAATAATGCAGAATAACAAGTTGAATATTGCACTAAAAAAACAAAAACTTGCATTAAAACTTAAAAACCATGTGCCAGACACAGTGCAAAGGTTATTGAGATGCATGGCCCAAGATGTTTCCTTAGTGAGTAGTGTAGGGAACAAGTCTGACCACAGAACCTTCATAGATGGTCTGATGGAAAGCATAGTGCTTTTTGCCCATCACCTTCATCGTCCGCTTTAACTATATTCCCAATTTTTGATTTTAGCCGGCCTGTGAGAGTGCCATAGTGCAGATGACACCGTTAGTTGAGTTTGAATGTCGGGGACACTTGGATGACACCACAGGAGCAGGACGGAGGCATTTCATGGGTTTTATTTTCTAAATAGTTTTTATAGTTTTGAATAAATTACCATTTACTTCAATTGTATTGGATTTGGCTACAATGCTGTTTACCCCTTGAAAAGTGTTTTTACACTCAACCACACCCACCCCTGCCTCAGCACAGTGGTGATTGGAGAAGGCGTGAGTTTTTCATTTTTGGGGTGAACGATCGCTTTAAATGTCGTCATCGTGACTGACAAGGCACATTAGCCAATCAGCGCCCGTCGTCCGCCCACGGCCCCTGCGCTGATTTCGGGAAGGGGCCTTGACTTGTCTGGAAGCACGAACTCAGGAGGACGCGACTCCACTATTCCCGCGGACCTAACCTCACTTTGTTCCTCCTCTGGACTCTGGATGTTTTTCTCGGGTTTTTTTTTTTTAATTTTTCTATTCAAACAACCGACGAGCGACTGTTTAAATCGGACCCGGAACTTTGGTCGAAGCGTCTGATGCGCTGAACGAAACGGAAGTGACTTGCCAGCTGTCTGGCTAATCTTGCTAGGTGAGTAAATACGTTGTTGTTGAAAATGTCCCCATCGGACAAAAAGATGTCCGTCTTCTTGTCCGGTCAACACAAGCACACGTTTGTCTGCGTGTCCTCGCCGTTGTCATGCGGGGACACAATCCAGCTGCCGTCGGCTTTGGTCAGCTTCAGTAAACCAACAGGCTAACAAGCTAATGTCAACGAGCTATCAAACTTCATCCGTGTTGTAAATACAGGAAGATGGACGCTTGCTGGTTGGATTTACGTGATAGAAAATAAAAAATAAAATGGTTTAAATGTTATAAATATGCTGACAACGGCGCCTTTAACTCAAAGGACCCGTTCTACCGATTAAAGTTCGAGACCATATCAATAAAAATACTCGATATCAAGTGTTGACGAGGGTAATATGTGTTTCAGATTCAAGGCGATTGAACCAGAGTTAATTACAATTTATTTTTCTCTCCATCCAAACTGTCTCTACTGGAAAAGATTGAAGTAGTGAAACCGAAAGCTCTTTATAAAATGTGCAGCCATTCTTTTGTTGCAATAATAATAATGATAACGATAATACTAATAATAATGATAATAATATTCTTCGATGCTCGGTTTATTGGCGGAGGGCAACTAACATCAAGCTGCATTGCCTACTGTG